AAACACAACACTCCAATCAAAACACGCATTCTCATTGGTTGAAACGTGAGTTTCGTGACATCACAGATGTCCTAATTTATCGGGATATTCCGGACTGATATATGGTTATCATCTGACAATAAATCCTGACAAATCTCGGGCAATGTAAATCCCGAAAGCCATAATTCTTTGAAATTTTTTTCTGCCTTTATTGGCTAAACAACTAAATCCTGTAGTGTCTTTTGGAAAGCTAGATAGCAAATATAACATAATATTTGGTAAAAAAGTAAATGTAGACGTATGTGTCCAGCTTGCGTGCTACCGTTTTACGGTATTGATTTTAAATAGTAACTTACAAATCGAGTTAAAAATTATAAAAAGTGTAATATTGTTTTTACTTTCCTATATTAGTGCAATAATCTACCGTCCTAGATTTACTGCAGCTAGTTTTAAAATAAACGAAAACTCCCTTAGCTCTTAGACTTTTTTCGTCAAGTTGCCATAGGAATTTTTTCGATTGTGTTATCCCTTGCTTTTATAGGGTGCCATGCGTCATTTCACAAGGATTGTTTTGTTGAAGGAAAATGTCCTAAGTGCGAGAGAATACGTATAAGGTATACTTATCTATAGAATACCTCTGACTACTTTGTCAATCTTTCTTGGTATACTATCCACATTTGGTATAAATCTACTAGCGCTCTCTCACGAATGCTGATTGGCTACGCTGCTCAGTATTCTGTTGTAGATAGTGAGTAGCCTAGCAGTGTGCGGTTGTTAACAAAATGACGGCCGCTTCTTGGTGTTTTCGAATTGTTTATGCTTAAACAATTAGATTATTCACTCTTGATCTCTGTGCGTGACAGAAATCGAGAGTGCTTAATCCAGTTGTTTTAGTTGTTCTTAGGAGAGAGACTTTATTAAACCTTGTATTGCCATCTCGCTTATTCAACCTGTAATTGGTATAACATTTGCAATTGGCCGTGCTGCACTGAAATGATTTCCTCCCAAACGCACCAAACTTAAAACTGTCCTGCGACGAATCCCTCGTGATCCTTTTTCCTTTGCCGTTTGCACTGTTTAAATAACTTGTACTGTAGACAAGGTAATCGGGTTTTGAACAAGCTTCAGTTAAATAAGTTTAGTTTGAAGAAGTTCTTTTTTCATTGCCGCTCAATGTTTGGTCAAGTACACTGAATAAATTTTTTCATGGTCTTAAAGAAATGAACAGCTAACTGTCGGAATTCATATATCTTGCCGTGAAACTGAAAATTAAGTTGCATTGAAGTATATTGGTATCAGAGCTGTAAGAATTTGTATTGGTAACCGCATGAAGGCCAGTGCAATTAAGGGTTTGCACTTCGAGTGAGACTAGAAAATTCTCTCAACATTTTGATTTTCCGCATTCGTTTCATGGCATGTGCTGTTTTTTTACTCATCAGAAAACAGTTACTGAGTCAATCAGTCTCTCCAGAGGAAGAATGCAGCACAGAAAATGGCTCAGCTGATTTTAACAGCACGAAAACAACCCAGCAGATCTTGGTTGGAGAGAAAGTATTAAACATTTAAACGATTTAGAACACAAAAAGGGCTTAGGCGGATCAAAATAAAAGTGAATAATTAATTCAGTGCTAACCTGCGATCATGTAGGGAGGGAGGGTATAATCGCAGGTTAATTCACTGACCCAGAAGTAACTGTAATGTTTATATTACTAGCGTCCTAACTGAAGAGAAGCCGGAGTTTCTTGTATGTTAGTACGGTTAAACCTTACTTCATCGGCCACGCTGAAACAGAATTAACTGCATCCCCGAGTGAGGATCAGTCATAGTTAAGTGTATGGCGGTCCAGTACGATCAGCGCCGTAGTAACCTTATAACTTTCACAACAATAACATTACATGTGAAGAATTTTGTAGCAATACATACAACACATGACGTACTTCATTGAATATGCACCCTTCCCTTAAAATAACGTACGAGAAGGCCACAATTCGAAAT